CAAAATATATTGATTGCTTTAACATTTGAAACATTTCCATGAGAAAGTGCAATATATAATCATAATCTAACAATTAAGGTATATAAATTATACGAGTAAGAACTACATCATACCTTGTTGTAATTCTAGCTTCTCTTGAGCAGCTTTGTACTCCTGAAATTGAAAAAAGCATATTTTATTCCTTAAATAATACTAGAGGTACAGTTCTTCACTTGATATTTCTATCAACTGTGAAGAAATTACTGTGCAAACAAGAGATAATTGTTTTCATAAGCTCCATASACTTGAAGTTCTCACCTTCTCCAGTTGTTTTAGTTTTTGTTCATTGCTCAATGATGATGCTTCAGATGGCACTTTGATGCTGTTAAATGAAAAAAGGAAAAATGTATGCATAAAGTGAAAAAAAGAAAAAAATGGGAAAACAGAAAAATGTGAAGGATGCGGAGAAGGAAGTAATGGACAAAGGCAGGTGACGATAGAAAGAAAGGAAAAAGGAAATCCAGAAAACAAGCAATAAAAATGAAAGAGGAAGGAAAGTTTCAATACCGATATAAAATGGAATAAAGGGAGAGAATGGAGGGAAGAATGAGACAAAGAGAAGAGAGAAAAGGAATAAGAGAAACAAGAGAAAATCAAGAAACAAGAAAAATAAGTGGGAAAAAGAGAAGAGATAAAGGCACAAAGGAAAAACAAGAAAATATAAGACAGAGTATCAAATATTGAAAACAAGCCCTTCCACGACCTACCTACTGTCTGTCATTTCTGTGTCGTCCTGTCTATTATTACTCGCCTCCCACATCTGCCTTTCAACTTCCAGCAGCAGTAATGCGTTTGCTTTTTCTTTTTCTAGTTGATTTTTGAATTCCTGTTCTCTTTCATTCCATTTTATCTCAGCTTGTTGAAGCTTTGCTTCCATTGTAAGTAATTTCTCATCCTTTTCCTGTATACTTAGCACACTGAGTTCCCTTTCTTTCATTAGTGATTCCCATTCAGTTTCATATTCTTTTAACTTCTCATTCTTTTTTCCTATTTCCAGTTCCATTTCTTTCACTTTTTCATTCAGTTGTCCCACAATGATTTTCTTTTCTTTGGTTAAGCTTTGAATGATAGAATTAAACCTAGTTTGYTGTTCTTCCTCMGTYTTGTTTCTTATGTCCCTTTGTCTTGTCAAAGTAYGATGCTGCTCTTCGCACTTTTTCTTGTATTCTTCCAAGCTAGCTTGGAGCTTATTCAAATCATCCAATCTTTGTGCCTCTTGAGCGTTMTTTTCTTCAATAACTTTCTGTAATTCTAGTGAAATATTATTTTTCTCCTGTTCCAGCTGTGACTTCAATTGCATGAGTTCCTTTGTTTCCATGGCATGTTTTTCATTYAACTGCTTCACAACACYTTCATATTCCTTTGCCGTACTAGTGTTCATTTCAGAYAATGACAGTTTAAGCTCACTGATAAAYCTTTGGAAATCACTCCAGGCAATTTCAACATCTTCATTCATCTTATTCTTGTAACTAGTTATAAAATYTTTACTTTGCAYAAGATCATCTCGTAATGCCCCCACAGTTTTCTCAAAATAATCCCTGATATTGGTTTTAAACKCAATAAGTTGTTCATTATCTTGAAGTGCGTTTTTATATTCTAAAGCAGTGTTTGATAGCTCATTTTCTAAATCACAAATTCTCTGTTCAAGTTCGTTGATTGTTTCTTTATCTTTTGAAGAGTCTATTTTTTCTCTTGTACTTTCTTCCAGTATTTCACTACACATTAGTTTTTCCTCTAAATTGATATCTGTCTGTGTGCTTGTAGTKATGCTCTGTGAGCCTGAACTAGTAAGAGTTTGGCTGGATTCATGACCTTCAGTTACCAACGTACCAGTGTTTTCCCTTCCATCTTTTGTGTCAAAGTCAGAGTCAACAACTGTTACATAATCCTCCTGGGCTGACCTAATAGGAATATTAAAAATGCAATATTACATWACAATTTTTTTGAGAAACGTTACTTGATTTCCCTTGTCAGACAAATTTAATAACACACTGCTCCACACAACATGTTTGTGCAACTTCAACTTGTTTTCGGGACTTAACATACAAAACAATAAAAACCCATGGGCGTATCGAGGATTTTCATTAGGGGGGTCCTCACATACCAAATTGTCACTRTGATGATGTCATATCAATCTGGGGATTTCGCGCTTTTTTGGCTTTGAAAGGGAAGTCAAGGGGACACTGTGACCCCCCTGGATACGCCCCTCTAATCAACATATCTAGGGGGGGTCACAATAGACCTGAGTTCAACTCACCTRAACATAATGTCGCTATCAGTTAATCCAGAGCTTGGTTCGGAYGCAGTATCGCTGTCTCTATGGTAACCTTTAGGGGGAGACTCTTCACCTGGTTGGACATATGGAGCTGACTCCTCAGTTGAGCTACGAGAAGCATCTTTCAAATTCTCCTGAATTTGCTGACCGGAATCCTGTGATTCACTGACAACTTCTTGTCTGTCTGTCATCCACATTGACTGGGTAGAGGCATCAACGCTCATTGCTGTTTTGCTAATTGATAGATCCTTTCCTGGATCTTGTATGAATAATTAATTATAATCAATGACAATAAATTAATATTTAGTAACAATGATAATAATAATGAATACTGCAATTACTTCAGAAAGGACAAGAAAGAGACCCCACTGTTTTTCAACCATCAACTCAACATAAACCAACTCAAATGTGCAACAAGAAGCCCTTAGTGTTACCCTTCTACCTTGTGAAGTTGCCATTAGAGAATCTTGTAGCTTTAGCATCATGGATAGAGAACTGCCATCAACAGATGTATCTCTCATGGAGACGTTGGTTGTCCCTTCATCAAAATAACCCTTGAATTCAGGTACAATAGACTGRAGGTTGATTACATCTTGTTCAGTGATGATAGGAAGATGAGAATCGAATGACTTTGGTAACTTGTCCTGTAGAGGCCAATACTAAGATTAGATACTTGGTAAATAAATGAACAAATGGATGAATGAAAAAATGGATGGATGAACAAATGGATGGATGGATGAATGAATGGTTTAGGAATGGAATATTCAAAAAGGGTAATGAATCTCCTTGATTAAGGTGCAAATGTAACTCACAGCAAATCTACTAGGCCTGTCATCTAACCCAGTGAACAATGTTTGAAGAAAATGMCGACCTGTCAAAATATAAACAATTACWTTTTAGCAGAGATATAATTATTTGGCATGAAACTATTGGGAGATTACCTACCAAATTTACGAGTAAATTCCTCTCTTTTAGCGTTTTCCTCTGTTAGCATTTCACAAACACTTTCATGTAGTTTTCTTGCCCACTTAAATGATAAAAATATTTCATTTACCATGCTGAAATACAATATTTAATAACAAAAAGAGATACATAATCTTTCAGTTGTTAACATWAGTACCTTCATGAATTGAGATGAAAATTTTTGTCTTCGAGCGACCTCARCACTTGCAAGAATGTATAACTTGGGTGCTTCACTTACTTGGTCGAGGATCTCAAGCCTAATTAGAACAATAGATATTTATGGATGATAATGATGACAGCTGTCAATAACAATGATGATGACAATAATTGTAGCAAGGGTGACCAGGTAATGATTGGTCTGTAACCTATGTGGTCCAGGTAAAGATGATAAGGTCTAATCTGTTTGTTTTTGTGAATTGTCTAGTTTACCTTCTCTTTACTCTGCGAATATTCTCATGRTAAATGATTAAAGTACTGTCAGAATCGCAGATTTTCTTCTCTACATACATAATCCACCTGAAATTTAAAACAATATACATTAGTACTTAATTACTGACTAAAATTTTATGTTAAAAGTACCTCAGTCTTGTGTGCAGGTTAGTTGACAATTCTTCTTTAGCTTTAGCACACCGACGGAGGTAGTCCCTGAAAATAGACAGAAAATCATAAGGATTAATTAATAACCAGAAAATGTTTACTTAAATACCTCATCATATCATTAAGCCAATCACACTGGGTGTAATATCCTGCACAAAACATTTCCAGCCAATCAGATCAGGTATACTATCACTTTGTCAATCAAAGTTAACAGCCAATTGGGTGAAGTATATTCTTAAATGCATTAGCCAATYCTAATGTGTGTACTATCTTAAGTTCAAATATATCAGCCAATCAGAGTGTGTATTCTATCTAAGCTGTGTGTTTGATACCTCAGTTGAGAGTGATTCTTCATCAGCATCATCAGTTGCTTCTGATGACTCGCACACAAGTCTGGCAACACTGATGCATCCCCGATGTTTTGAGCTCTTGTTTGATTTTGTACAAAACCCTTAAAAATATAGAATAAAAGTTATAATATCATCACACTAAACTACAGCTATAAATAATAGGTGGCATATAAATAAACAAAAKCTCAATTTAGCAAGCATTGTCTAAGGCTTAGAAACCAAAGTGGAATCCATTGAACATAGAAAGACTTTGAAATATCTGAAGATATAAAGAACAGCCTTACAAATCACATGGTTCTAGATCTAAAAACCAGCATTTCAAACTTTATCAACACTGCAGCAATTTTTTCTTAATAAATTTTTAAAGTTTATTGTTCAAGAAGTAGATTGATATTTACTGTAATATACAGTATAAAAAGTCAAACTGGAAGACTTGAAGATGGCTGTTACTTAAGACATGTTACACAGTCTACCTGTGCCATTTCTGCTTGTGACTGCACCAGTTCTTGAACTCTTTGWAGCAGCTCTTGAAGACGCAACAATCTCTCATCTAAACCTTTGATTTCTTTCATGCTTGAGTTGTTCAAAGCTTCTTGGACCTGCAAAGTTGTAKAATTTATGTGGTAAAATAGGTTTGATTCTAAATGACATAACTTGATCTAAAGAAAAAATGCACCAAAGATGACTTAACCTTTTCATTACCACTATTTCTTTCCTTTCCATTTCTTTCCCTTTCCATCCTCCCCTTCCTTTACTAGCTGCTACTGGAGATAAAAGTGTTAAAATGGAGGGCCATACTAACCTGAATAACTTCTGTCATGACCCCTTCAAGCACAGTCCCATCAAACTGCTCTAAGGCATTACTGCACTGATCTATCATGTCTTGTAAACTGTTCTTTTGATCTTGTGCACTGATCCAATCAAGAAGACTAATACCATCTGTTCTTCCTGGCTTGCTGGCTTGCTTACCATGTAATAAACCAGGAAATACTGGTATCTTAGCAAGAACTTGAAGGATCTCACCATAGCTGAAATGAAAACCTTTGAATGATTCGCAGTGATAAAAGACTGAAACTACATTCAGTATCAGCTGTTTTTTTTTATCATTTAAGGTGTAGGGTTTATCCCTTATCACAGGTGCTACAGCTATCATTATAGGTGGTACGTTCCCCTGAAGTAACTCTAGATAACGTGGCATACATACCCTTGAAGTAACTCTAGATAACGTGATCTTGAATCCAAAAACTCTTTATAGCTCAGCTTTACTGTAGAGGCTCTCTCATTGAACTCCCTGAATAGATCATTTAAACATATTGTTAGTAAATATTGAAGCCATGTTCTGTATGAAATATAACATGAATGCTACAGCTAGCTACCTAGATAAAGACATAAAAAAATAACATAATATGTAATAACAGGAAAGTAAGAGAAAAGGGAAAAGAAAATTGTACATTTTACAGTCTATTTCCTGTTGTCATTATTAACTTGGTTATAGATTARAGAAAAATTCATTCTCTTGAGTTGAAATCTCCTGATAATAATGACATCAAGAACTCATAAAACATAAATATTATACATTTTCATTTGCTTCTTAATAATTTATGGTTACTACTCACTTTGAAATACTGTCTAAATTAGACACTACAGCAGCCCATCCCAGCTGTTGAAATGACTGTTCATTCACAAGACGTTCACAGTTACTAGCAATTTCCATGGCRTAGTGATTAAAGTCTGATGCTAACTGAGCTCTAGACACAAGGGTTTCATATGTTGGTGGCAGTTTGAAGGATATTTCTACTTGTTCTTTCAAGCTAGACTCTGAAATGTAATGGAAAATTGGTTTTAAATGTATACAATGTTTGTGAATCGACAATYAGAAGATGCTGCAAATACACCATATCAACGATTATTACCTGATCCAAATGTAAGACTTGTTGATGGAGGAATGGATGATTCTATAGTGCTTTTACTAAACAGGTAAATAGGGCTTGTATCCTAACAACATTAGGGAAAGCATGTTTAAAGTAACAATAATAATTACATTCTGAGATTATTGAGGACAAATATAAACAACTAAAAAATTATGCATTATTATCATATAAATTCTCATTTGCAGTACAGCCAATGCAGACAAAGTCATGACATGGAATTATCAATAGGCCACCATTAGTAATAGCTACCAAAGGACTTGCTCTTACTGCCAGAACACATTGTGCACATTGTGACTGGTTTGGCAGGCTATTCCATTTGGATTGCAAATGAAGGGGTATAGAATGGTTCTCAGAAATCGCAAGGCTCTACGAAAAATTTCCAAGGCTCGCAAGCTTGGAGCTTAAAAAGAAAGGGGCTCGGGTTTAAAATCGCTTTTGACTCGGAAGCTTGTATTGCCAAAATAACGGACTTGTTAAAAAATGAGGGGCTCGCAGGCTTGGTGAGGCACGGATTTTACCATTCTATACCCCTTAATGATAGTGATTAAATAAACCATAATTTTCACTTTATGTTGACTACTTACAGTTCCAGCATTGCTATAGTTACACACTCTATCATCAGGGTCTAATGATTCTCCRCCAGTAACCAGTAAAACCTGTTTGTCCACTGTAATTCCTGTGGTGCTAGCTATTGTAGACATTAGAGTCTGGACACTAGTACCAACCAAGTATGATCAAATTAAAAACAATATAAATGTGATCTATCAGTTGTAAAAGTATTCGAGGATTTTCAAAAATAAACCAGGTACACAGATTACAATATTTAAAATTGGGCAATAATATCAAAGCGTCAAATTTTCTGCCAAAAAATATGTAATATCTTTGAAATTGTCCATCAGTCTCCTAAATAKTCTAATAGTGTCAAAGGTTTGCTATGCATCTCTACTGTTGGCACAGATGTACTAAAAGTGCTGAGCTGACCACTTTCTGTTGCCAATCTGTATTTACATACAAATATATGCCATCAATACAAGCAAAGACCCACCGAATAAGTAATAAGCTTTGTTTTTGTTATAAGATAACGTTAATTAGTTACTCTGTTACTCTTGTCTTACAGTAATTAAATAYCATGTCAACAAACATCTCAATCTAAATGAGATTTTCGTTACCTTTCCATTGCCAGCTCCATCTCAAACGAGTACATCTCACCAATATCGACAGAAAACACGTACAACATACTGCCAGCGAATGTCTCCARCAAGACCTTGTACTCTGTAATATTAATAGGCTCTTTGCATCAACTAAAAACTGTCCCTTTGGTTGGAAGTGATGAGAAAGACAAGCTTATCTCACTGTCGTTCAAACGACACAAAMTTCTGCTTTTTGAGCTCATTTTTGAGCGACATTGAAAAGTACAGCAGCAAGGAAGGCGTGATTCATTTCTGYTGGAGTTTTATACAATTTCAGGTAGCAATAACATCATTTTTTTAAAGAAGAAATTCAAGAAAATGACTTCACTAYTTTGCAAATTCACCATAAAAATTGCTAGATCAATGCGCATGAGCAGTAAAGGAACGCGGGCGCGTGTTTTTATTTTCATTTTTTGCGGAGAGGGGAGGGGACGGGGAGGTGTTGCCAGCTGCAAAAATATTAATTATTCAAATTAATAAATTTCGCCTCTTTATATAGCTGGTGAAAAGAATAACACTTGTACACAATGTACATAGATTTTGTTCAACTTATCCATATCATCAAATGGTTTTTATAATTTTTGTATTATAAATTCACTTGAAATATAATCATAAATATTTAAACTGATAATTATAAATTTATAGTATTTTTATCATAATATTATCTTTTCTGTGTAGTCAGTCCCACACTGGTGTTAATACCAGTATAATTTTTGTCTTTGAAATGGATAKTGAAATTAGATTTACTACAAAATAACAAAAAAATACATTAAAGATCATGACAAATTAATTAACTATATACAATTTATTGATGACTACTACAATCATGTATAAATTACAAAAAATAACATTACAGATATTTGAAACCTGAACTCGTTGACTGAGCTGAGTCAGCTGAGTGGAACTGCTCTACAACCCACTAACTATACCCTAAAAGTAATTGTAATTCACAATGTTGTTGATAATATTATTATACGGCATATCCTGTGAAGAATGATTATTATTTAAAAAAATCAAATTTTTTAGACAAACTCAGAAAATATTGCTCTTCCAAATATTTTAAGGTTATGCATAATGAATACAAAAGTAATAAGAAATACCAGAATTCTTATTAATTTGGCATTAAAATCAAAAATGTATTATATATTTTTCAAAGAATGTTGAATACTGAGAACTAGGATATAACATATTATGCAATTCAACASTCTTTAACATAACTGAAGTAGATTTATAATGCATCAATATGAAAATAGACGATAGAATATATATGTGCTTTATGTGCTGTGGCTTAATTGTTTATATTAATTGTGGTTTAAACACACTAAGTGGCCATGAATTATATATAGAACCCCAAGGGCTTCATTRCTATACCTCATATATCATTTCATTCACACAAAAACAAGTTATTCTGTACATTTTCTATAATGCATACAATTATATGATGTAATTTAAAACCTACTGTGAAAWGAGACAAATTTTTCAGATACAAATTATTTATACTGTGTGTTGCACATAATAAAAAAAATCGAATTGTGCAAAGTACAAACACCGCAATCAGTTTGTATCAATATAATGATAATATAATTTATAAGAACAGTGKGTAAAACAGAGTATCAAAGAATGAAAAGAAGTGACATTATTGAAATTGATTAAACATCACGTTTAAAATACAAAAGAAAATGAATGAAATAATGTGTTTTGCATATTCTAAAATGATTAGAAAAAAAGATGTTTCATGGGATTGTTAATTGCATTTTACTAATAAATGAATGATACTCTATTCTGTAGATGAAAAGTAAAATCACTTTCATGCTGTCCATGCTTTTAGGTGAAACAACTGAGTATATGGCTGCCAGGCAAAGAAATAGAAAAATCACTTTCCATTTCTAAATACAATTATATGGTATTTTTCAGTTCAATATTATAATACTACCCTATTCTAGTTCATCTTAAGTGTTTTTGTTTCTTCCCATGGAAAACCTGGTTTAAAATGTCCAAAGGTACTAGTAGCTCTATAAATTGGTCTCCTAAGATCCAGCTCTCTGATRATCATTCCAGGACGAAGATCGAAATTGTCCAGKACAATYTTCAGAAGCTCTTCATCAGTGCATTCACTGGATCCATAACTGAATACTGACACTGACAATGGTTCTGACAGACCAATGGCATATGCAACTTGTATCAGCACACGCCGRCATAGCCCTGCAGCAACCAGAGACTTGGCAATCCATCTTGCTGCATATGCACCAGATCTGTCAACTTTGGTGACATCTTTTCCAGAGAATGCACCCCCGCCATGAGCTCCCCAACCACCATATGTATCCACTATGATCTTTCGTCCTGTTAGCCCTGCATCACCTTGGGGTCCCCCCATTGTAAACTTTCCAGACGGCAGTAAGTGGAGTACTGTTTTTTCATCAAGGTATTTTGATGGGATGACTGGCTTTATAATAGTTTCAAGAAGATGATGCCTTACATCGTCTACATGGACATCTGGCCTGTGCTGTGTGGAGATGAGCACTGTATGTACACGCTTTGGTACACAAGCTCCACCTTCTAGATTATACTCCACAGTAACTTGTGTCTTACCATCAGGTAGCAGCCATGGAAGAATATTATTCTTTCTGCATTCTGATAATCTTGCACAAAGTTTATGTGAGAGTACAGTTGTTAAAGGCATCAGTTCTTCAGTTTCGTCTGTAGCGTACCCAAACATAAGCCCTTGATCCCCCGCTCCGAGGTCTTCGTCCTTCTTCCCAACATGGACAGTGTCTGCAATTTCTTGTTCTTGTTTTTCTATAGCTACCAGAACACTGCAGGTTTTGTAGTCAAATCCAGTGGATGAGTCATCGTAGCCAATGTCTTTGACGGTTTCACGGACAACGCTTTGAAAATCGACTTGTGCACCAGAGGTTATCTCTCCAAAGAGCAGGACCATTCCAGTCTTGGTTGCGGTCTCGCATGCAACTTTTGCGTGAGGATCTTGCTCTAAATGTGCATCCAACACAGCGTCGGAAATTTGATCGCACATTTTGTCTACATGGCCTTCGTTGACAGATTCTGAGGTGAATAAGAAGTTATGGCGATCGTTTGTACTGTATGGACCAGATACATTCCTTACGAGTGAAACACGAGGCGTAGAAAGTGTGCGAAGACACAAAGTTCGTACAATTGCAGAGCTTGTAGCTAAATGTCGAATTGTATGCATGCTTGAGATCTTTGAATGTGGTATGAACAAAAAGAAATTGAGTTGTGTATGTGGAAATCACAACTAATCAAACCAAACACAATGAAATAAACAATGGAATGCCGTGATATGGTGTGTTTGTTCGACTCACGAGGCTTCTCGGAAAGGGCTCGTGCCATATTTACAAACCGATCTGTCAAAAAAGCACACGACTTCTTTCCGAAAAGCTTCCGGACGCTCTTATTTTTAAAAGTGAGCAATCCACCCAGACCCCCGCAAAGAGCAACACCGGCAAATAAATGTTGTGATCGTATCGACTTCAAAATGGATCCCAAGTCTTCGCATGCTATTGAATCGGATTTTCAATCTTCTTCGACCAATTTATGGCCGATGAAACAAGGTTTTTTTCCAGATGCTATCGCCGATGATGAGGACGACGATGAAAAATCAAGACGGTTAGCGTGGTTAAAATCTTGGTGGTTCAAAGGCCTGATTCAAGGATGCGCTGTCGTAAGTGTCATCTCAGTTTCTATGAACAGTCCAGCGACGTTCGACAAAGTTAGTGAATTAATTTATGTGACTCTGATCCTAGACATTATGGTAGTAATTGTCTTTACAATTGAGATGGTTGCTCAAATTCTCAAATATACATTTAGAGCCTATTTAAAACGTCGAAATTGCATCTTTAATTTTATTATGGTTCTTCTTATCTGGGCTTCAATTATACTTCAATTTGTTGAACTTAGCGGCATAAAACCAAAGCCATACACGATGTTTTCGATTCCCAGAGCACCTAGAGCTCTCATAATGCTTCGGGTCTTTAAGGTTTTCGTTAATTTTCGCTTGAGCGAAGAAGTATCGCGGCGATCGAGAAGACAGATCTGGTCTGTTATCATATTCTTTGCCTACTTTATGACCCTGGCTTCAATAATAGGTATTCAAATGTTTGGAACCAAAAACCACTATTGTGTGAAAAATTCAACCGATTTGAACAATGTGAAATACAGTGATATTCCCCTACCCGAGGCTCGATGTAGTCTGACAAATGAGAAAGGATATTTTTGCCCTAGTGGTTTTAGTTGCGAGGAAATCAAGTTGCCGGGCTTCATGGGCGCTCGTAAATACTTTGACCATTTTGGATACAGCCTTTTGACAGTATATGTCAGCGCTACGCAAGAAGGCTGGGTGCTCGTCATGTATCAGATGATGAACGTGAGGTCGAAATTATTGGTAGCTATATATTTTGTACTATTGATATTTTTTCTGGCTTTGTTAGTCAAGAACGTATTCATTGCCGTTGTATCGGAAACGTTTGCGGATCTTCGTAGTCACTATACAATCAGTCGACGTCAAACGAGAAGACGACGATATACTGGCTTGTCATCACTTGTCATTAAAGATCATGGAACTGGTTGGCATCTTGTTTCTGTGGATCATGAAGCTAGTAAAGGACATGCTCCCCTTCCAATTCGACGAGTTATAGGCTCAGCTGTTGTACAATATTTTATTTGGATTTGCGTTTTTGTGGATGCTTTGATTCAAGCCATTAACAGGCCATGGCGACGCCAAGCGCAATTCATTTTTACGATATTATTCGACATTGAAGCTCTGTTAAAAATCTGGTGTTCTGGTTTCAGAGCATATTTGAACAATTCTCGGATGCAGTTTGTGGAGTTTGTGATTGCGGTGGGGAGTACTGTGCTAGCAATACCTGTGCTTTTAGGACACGATGCATTTGCTTTTTTTCATGTCATGCGAGTTATCCGTCTTATTGGAGCAATTCCTGGACTTCAGGCCTTTTGTCTCAAGATCTTTGGAACTGGAAAAAAGCTGGGAAGTATCATCCTTTTGACTTTTTTCTTCGTCATGCTTTTATCAGCTATTGGAATGCAACTCTTCTCCACACTCAAAGAGGAAGACGGCAGCTATATATTTGGCACGTACACTCAATCTCTTGAATCAATGTTCCAAATTCTTACCCAAGAGGGTTGGGTGGAAGTAATGGAGAAATCCATGATAAGTGCCGAAGATATTATTCCTGCCATTTTGGTCGCGTGTTTCTTGACACTATATCACGTGTTTTCGTCCTTGATCATAATGAGCGTGTTCGTTGCTGTTATCGTTGATAATCTTGAGTTGGATGAAGACGTTAAGATTATGAAACAACACAAAATGGACGAGGAAACTAGTGTGACACATGAGAAACTTCCTTTAAGGATTCGAATTTACGAGCGCTTCAAAGAAGACCCAAGACTCGTCAAGATGAGCCGGTTGAAGTTTGCTTCGGAATTCCCCACGCCTAAAATCCGTGAAAGTTTCATGCGGCGTTTTGTGAACACTGAGACATTAACTGACTTACCTCTTGAATTATCAAGCGATGGTGACGAAGGAAGTCCAACTCCAAGGATTCCTGGCCGCCGTGCAGCACTGCATGATCTGCCTGTTCAACTTCTTAACTCCTCGATCTCGGAAGCAAGTCGCTCAACAAAAATCTTCCGTAAACAATCAACTGTTTCCGCATTGATCAACGATTCAAATCATCGTAGAACACTCGCTCAGTTATCGCCAACAGATATCACTCAAGGAAAGAGCACCGGATTTCGCTCAGCATCTCGTCGGTTCCGTACTGGAGGGCGTGCCGGAAGAGGTGCTGTAACAGAGGCCGATGTGAAGCGGTTGATGGCATCACAAGGTACCAAAAAGCTCCATTCACAACTAAGTCAAGAGGATGGAAACCAAAGAGACTGGGACATACAATCCCTTCGAGAAAAGAGAGAACAAGCGCAAAGTAGACGACGTTTTCAAGAAGAGACTCTGCGTGAAAATCATCCTTTCTTCGACCAGCCTCTCTTCGCGCTACCGCGTGACTCGTGGTTTCGTGGCTTCCTGCAGGGTGTCGTGCATGCGCGATATACCATTCCCCCTGGATACCGTGACCGAGCGACTCGTAACCGCCTTGTTTCCATGGAAACTATCCAGAAAACACTTGCTTCGCAGACTTACTTGGAATGGACAATGGTTTTCATCACACTTGCATCATGTCTGTCCATGATGACGGAAACGCTCGAGGAAAACACATTCCAAAACCCTTGGACAAACGTCTTTGAACATTTCTTTGTTGTTGCGATGAGTATCGAACTAGGAATTCGAATACTTGCGGATGGACTTCTATTCACACCTAATGCTATCATTCAAAACGTTGGCGGAGTACTTGACATATTCATATACTTCAACGGCCTTGTGTACATCTGCTTGCAGCCCAAGGAAGTGCGTGCAGGCTCAGGTGCTCAGATTCTGATGATTTTACGATGTCTCCGACCTCTTCGGATAATCACACTGATGCCAAAGATGAAGAAGGTTATCATGGAACTGTGTGGTGGGTATAAAGAGATTCTTAAAGTCTCTGCTCTTCAATTGATACTCATGTTTAGTTTTGCTATATACGGAGTTCAAGTGTTTTCCGATAAACTTGCAAGGTGTAACGATGTATCCATTGAAAGCAAAGAAAACTGCACAGGTTACTTCATACGGGAACTATCGACGCCTCGGGAACTGGGAGATCTTGCTGGTGAAGTCCCATCCATGCTTGTTCCACGTGTTTGGAAAAACCCTCGTAATTTTAACTTTGATGATGTGTTCAAAGCTTTTCTTGCACTTGTTGAAGTCTTATCTCTCGAGGGCTGGTTAGAAGTACGAGACGTGATTCGTGATTCTCCAGTTGCTGAGTACGCGGTGTTCGTCCATATTTACGTGTTATTTGGTAGCATGATCGGTTTGACGCTCTTCGTTGGTGTCGTCGTGACAAACTTTAATGAACACAAGGGAATCGCGTTACTCACTGTCGACCAAAGAAGATGGCAGGATTTGAAGAAGCGCTTGAAACTTGCACAACCACTTCACCTTCCACCTCGTCCAGATGAACCAGGAATTCGAAAGAAACTTTACGACGTCATGCAGTCTGTTTTCTATCGTCGAATTGTCGCTGTGATCGTCTTGCTGGAATGTCTTACACTTGCTGTAGCACAATGGACTACTGCCGAACAAGAAGTCCGTGACGGCGTGACAACATTAGCTGCTGCCTGCACCTTGTTCTTTTTTATCGACGCAATCTTAAAGATCATAGCATACACCTTCGAGGGCTATTGGCGGAGTATGAGGAACAGGTTTGATATGTTGTTGACTACTTTAGGAATCATCTGGATTATCCTGAACTTTTCGCTCAAAACGAGGAAAGATATGTACCAGGGCTGCTTAGTCTTTGGAGTGGTCATCATCGTTTTCAGGTTCCTCACACTGTCTGGTAAGCACAATACTCTTAAAATGCTCATGCTCACCGTTGTTATGAGTCTGGTGAAGAGCTTTTTCACAATCGCAGTCTTGGTTGTCTTGATGATGTGCTACTCTCTTGCTGGAGTGATTCTCTTTGGCTCGGTCAAATTTGGAGAAGCTATCAACCACAATGCAAACTTCCAAACTAGTTTCGAGGCGATGATCCTCCTTTTCCGTATAATCACTGGCGAAGATTGGAACAAAGTCATGCACGACTGTATGATTGACGAACCATACTGCACACATGCTGATGACACCAGCTGGAGGACAGACTGTGGTAACGAGGCAGCCGCCATCGTCTTCTTCATCTCATTTTACGTCATTGTGACTTTCATTCTTCTCAACGTGTTCGTCGCTGTCATTATCGAGAACTTCTCTTTGTTTTACGCCAGCGACGAGGACTCGTACCTCAGCAACACTGACTTAAGAGACTTCCAAATGGCTTGGAACTTAGTTGATAAGGGACGTCGCGGCATCATGTCTGTTCCACAAGCACGACTATTTCTTCGTGTCTATATCTTTTTCAAGCAGAATAATTATCTTAAAGGTCGTCTTGGTGTCGACGATAGGTCTACCTCATTCAGACACATGTGCTGTGAAATCGAAAAACTTCGTAATGGCGGTGATGTGTCTTTCCATGATGTGCTCGGAGTCATTGCTTACAGGACTGTAGACATATCCCATTGTCTTCAAATCAATGAACTTCTAGAGCGGGAAGAACTGGAGTACACTATCGACCAAGAAGTTGCTATTCAGACAATACGTGACTGGTTCATCAAACTCAGAATGAAAAGAGAAAGAGAAAAGCAGAAGAAAGAACGAGCAAGTCCTTTGGTGTCCAGCAACGAGAGTTTGAACAACGCTGGACTTGGGGAAGAGTCGGATCGCGAACAACGAGAACACCACGAACGTGATCGTCTTAGCAGCGGAGAGGAAGAAGAGAAAGAACCTGAAAAGATGCCAGCAATGAGAACACTGTCTTCGCAGTCAGCGGGATTTTTAGCTCCACCATCGTCTCCACCGCGTCAGCGGAAGTTTTCAGGCCCCGATAGGTTCAGTTCTCCACGGAAAAGTTCATCTGTGTCGTTCCCAACTGAAATAGTAGAACCGCCTCCAGCTTCTGCTTTGAGACAAAGACAAAGATCCATTCCTACCGAACAGAAAGAGAACACCGAAGTTAGTGACTGGTGGACAACACAAGTGAAAGATGAACTTCCCTTTCAATCTCCTTAAAAGGCCAGTATTTTTGGACGCCGAACATTTCATGTGCGCTTCATATAAGCATGCAGTGGTCTCTTTTATGTGGTTCTGTGCATAGTCGCATGAAAAGTTGGACGTCTTTACATTCTTATTAGTTTTTATCTTCAATTCAGTGTACAAACATTGAACATTAGCCATGTTTTAAAAATGCAATTACGCTTTGTTTATCGATTGATAACGACCACTAGGTGCATTGGTCTATTTTACGGGTGTTTTACCTTGGTTGATTCGATATGGCTGATGTTCAATGTGTAGAATACACATTAGGTAATGCACTACAAGTATGCGTTATCTAGACCACAACTTATTTCTATATTCCTTAGTTCCTTGGCATGTCCAAGAGTGCATTTAGTGTAAGTATAAAATGCTCAGTGCAATAATGGACAATTGTTTAAATTTAGTACGATTTTTTAAAATAAGTATATGATTCACGCTAATGGTAAATGCACTATTGGTCGAATGATAGAATTGAAATTAACAAATGGCTTTTTAGAAAGCATTATACATATAATAGTTATTTTCATGAAACCTTGAAACCAATAGTATTTATTCAAATTCAATCAACAATATTCGAACGGTATAAATTGCGGTTTGGTGTTTCAGGGCTCAATGGAAACTTTTTAACAATATCCTAACAAAATTAAACGTACTTCAGTGAGCATTAACCTATGACATTAGTTTGCTATCATATTGATAACCAAGGAACCTCGTCCTCAGGCTTTTCACGCTAGTGTCCTCCATTTTGAAAATAGAGAAGAGTGAAGGCCCTTGGACGAGGTTGGTCCAGAAAAGCCGTCAATAGTAATGTCTATGGGTTTGGTGTTTGCACTCTCTGACCACGTATATTTTAATCTTTATATAATTAGTTAGCACACACACAAATATAAGACGTGTGATCATGAATATTTGAGAGTATAAAAGTGATTTTCTGGAGACCGAGAAAACAAAATGGCTGGCTCAAGAATTATTACAGCTTGAGCAAAGGCAAAAAAGCAGTATTAAGTATTTGCCTTGCTATTCTTTCGAGGTTGAAGGAAATCACCATAAAACCGTGAAATATAGGTCAGATTAGTATATCTTGATTTCATCGCTCTTGGGCGTGTCTAAGGGAACATTAGACACTGCCAAGGTGCAATATTTTATTATATCTTTCAAGTATTTTTGTGACTTCAACCTGCTTCTTCCATATTAGTATATTATATTACCGTGACGTAACGGTCGTCTACAAACGGTATTTCCARAAAGTATAGAGCGGCTTGTATAAATCCACGAAGCAGCATGATGAATTCAAATAAAAGTATATCAAAAAGAGAAGAAAATAATAATTTCAGTACAATTGTACTAATGTGAATTTCATATATCGTGTTTTTTGTCTGCTTGCCACTTTGCAATGCATAATTTTATTGAGGACTTTCATATTTCTAACAACTTAGCTTGGGCAGTTTCATGGACTTGTAGGTTAAACGACATCGGTCGCTGTTATGTGCTCGACGTAAAAGCTCGAAGCAAAGTAACTATAAGAAGACATAGAAGCTAACACTACTGAGCATGTGCAAACGTATGATTAGCAATCAGTAAAATTTAGTGTCATTCTCTGCCCAGAGCACCTCGGTCAAACAACGACGGGGGTTTCTTGGGTACTAAAATTTGAGTATCAATGCATTGAATCAATTTAAGAAAAAGTATTTACAAATTGTTATCGCATATAGTTGCATTAATTGTAAATAGAATGATTCTCCTATTATTAGAGCATATTAGAGAATATTAGTATTTATTGGGGGTATTGTAGCATGCAATCGGTTAGATTTTTACTATGACTGAACAGATCAAATATTTTGATGATTTTTTAACAGGGAATCAAAGTGAGGGTTTAACAATACTTTTAACATGATGTAGCTATGATTTGAATAAAGAATGTCAAGTTAAAAATTATTGGTGTTAAGTAGAACTCCCTGCTTAGTATATAGAGTAGACGTACTAAATCCGTATAAAAAATAGTACTAATTACTACTTAAAAAATAATGTTGATGAGACAATAGGAAACAGAGGATTAACATGATTTTTTTAATAGTTACTTAAGTTTCACGATTTGTTTTGCTTTTTTATGTACGTCTACTCTATGTACAATATACGTTTTCGTTCTTTGTTCAGCTTGGTTTTTGATAGTAATTATTGTTAGTAAAGTATTGCATTTTTTCGTACGTTCCTTTTTATTTCCTTTTTCATTGTTTCTTTCGTTTTCTTTCATTTTCCTGACATTTTCATTTTTCCTCGCATTTCGTTCTAATTTGCTGTTTGTACATTGTCATTGAACAGCTGTATATAAACTGAATTTTGAACGATTGATTTTGATATAACATTTGTTTTCGCATGCAGCTGTACTAGCTATAGAACTTTACCATCGCCACGTAACTTGGATATTTCCTAGACCACATCACTTTCAAATCTAAATTATAGAAATTGATAGTCAGATTGTTCAAAGAGATGTTTCATAGCTACCTTCTATTTATCTTAAAATGTTCCCAATTATTAGCCATACTCTCGATTTATAAGTCATTTGCCTACTCGAAATATGGAATTGAAAAAATAACCGCCAAAAACTACGAGGAGAAAGTTCTAAACAGTGAAAAAGACGCAYRTATATTGATAGTCAAAAATGTCGGCAAAATATCCCTGGAGGAGCTGATGGAGTTTGAATTCCGTCTCCGAGGTTTGTTTATAAGAGTGGGTATCATYGATCCTCAAAAGGATGGAGCATTTTTGAAGAGAAAGGTAAGTTTTGATCTTATCTTTCCTATTATCTGAATATTACGTGGCTTCTACGAGGATGTCARTATTGAGTGAGCCGCGTTACCGCTTTGTTAAACATTGATGATTAATTTTTTTTCGTCATAAATAATTTAGTACTGTTCATGTGAATGATATATTGGTTGTTATAAGGGATTTCCTGTTTAGAGTACGCTTTTTAAAGACCATCCACAGGGAGTTCATATTCCAGACCAACTAGTTATTACTTTCTAATTTCAATACAAAAGTCTTATGTTGGATTGAATTAATTTATAATTTGCTTAATTTTCATTTAGTTTTTCGAGTATCAAATTTACCTGTGCGAGACAATCGAAAAATCGCGATATTTAAATGTACGACGGTCTAACAATGAAACAAAAGAGTTTCTATGGGTGCCCGTAATATAGAGGTGTCGATATTTTAGAGGTGACCGTTTTATAGAGGTTTTAATCCATTAAAGGTGTCCAGAGCGTCTTTCCAGTGTATGGCTCCCTTTTTAAAATATATTCTATTTTTATTTTAGGGTTTTCTGGACAACAAYAATTCGTATCCTTTAGCTCGTGTTTTTCCGTACGGTGGTTGGAAGRTAAAGGTAGCTGGTAAGAAAGATGTGCGAACTTTGAAAGAAGCGAAGAAAATGGCGCTACAAAGTATACCCGACGAAACAACGAAGATACATTCAGACAAAGAACTAGAGCACTTTGTTCATTCATCGTATGGAACGTCGCCTCCTCGTTTTCCAGTGATTCTATTCTCGGGTAAAACAAACAAATAAACAATAAACAATAATTAAAATAAAAACAGTAAACAGCTAAATCAACTAAAAATTAACAAGAAATTATTTAAATGTTTTTTATGAACTGACCAGCATTGACATGGTTTCTCTTCCAATAAATAGTTCCTTTACAAAAAACTGGCACTAAAATAGTTTCTCCAGGGAAATAATAGGCATTGAAATGGCTTCTTTACAAATGACTGGCATTTAAATGGTTTCATTTGCGCATTATGTAGCCCGAGGAAATAGAGTTTATCTAAATCGCATTTTTTTTTCTTCTATAGAAACACGACAAACAGCAGCACTCTACAAAGCGCTATCTYTCAAGTACCCGTCATATTTCAACTTTGGCGTAATGCGCAAACCATCGAAGGATCATCTTCAAAAGTTCAGCATAAAATCCCTTCCTGGTTTAGTAGTCATGTTGGCAACAATTCTTCCCAATAAGCAACTAACTTTTAGTTCCATTCAGTACGACGTGAGGTCTTATGGAGAGATAAATTACTTAAACGTCGCTAAATTCTTATACTCAGYGCAYSAAAAACATTGGAAAGATTTACCAAATATCAAAAAGTTCAAAGGAAAGATGGCGCTCAAGGATGACTACATAAAAGACACCAAGTCAATTCTTTCAATGGATGCAAACTTTGAGGAAAAACCTCGACACAAGAAAATTGAGATACAAGARATAACTCCCGAAAACTACAAACATTTACGTAATGATAAAAACATAGGACTGTGTATCATTGTATTCCTTGATGGGAATAACGAAAACATGAAGAAAGAAACCTTACAACTTATGTCGGATGTAGAAAACATGATGGAAAACGAAGGTAGGAGAGTTCATCCTCGACATTTTTGGTTTTGATATTTGATTGAATAATTTTTACAAATGTAAGTCAAAAGGTAGCAACCACTAATCAAATATTTCCAGAAATTTAATTTAGTTTAAATTCGACTGAACCTTTCCCCTTGGTGTGTAGTATCGCGTGCCATTAGACCATGTTAATATCAAGTAGGATGGCCCTGCTTGGGTATCTCTTTTGTTTTCGTTTCATAAAAGTAAAGAGTTATAGCCCTACCTCATGTAACCATGGTCTTTGTTAACTTATTTGTTTACTGTACTGACAACTTTTTTGAAACTTTTAGGATATAAACCATAACTTCGGAATTTTCCAGTTTCTGTTTAGTTATTAAATTAAACATTTTCCAGGTCATAAAGAAATTCCAAGGCAGTATTTATGGGTTGACGGTACCTGTCATCCAGAATATGGAGACGTCTTCGGAATCTTCCCAGAGTCTCTGCCAACCTTGCTCATCACCAGGCCTCGCCAGCGTCTCTTCATTACACGGACACTCAAGGATGCGATTGTTAGTGACATTAGTAAACTGGTAACGAGGAGTCTGAAAGGTGAAAGCAAACTACAAACGTATGCACGATTTAATGACATGCTGCCTAAGGAATGCCTGTAAGTATTACCTAGTCTCCTTTCCCAGCTCGTTCCTAGAGGAGACCTGGGAACAAGCTTCATAGAGGCTGCCAGAGGAGACTAAGTGTTACCTGATAGGATACAATCTCCACAAATACAGACTATGGAAACATGTCTGCAATATGGAGTTAACATCAAAAGCGTGGATTTCACTAGCACATAAGCATAGCATAAGCACAAGCATGAGAATCATATGCGTCAGTGAGAATGGGCTCGACGTAAGCATAAGACATTGAGCATGCACATGAGAGTATTATTTCGGTACCAGGCTATGCTTATGCCTATGCAGTCCCGTTCTCACTGAACATAGGCATAAGATAAGCATGAGATAAGCACAAGAAGATCAAGACTTGCTTGCTTTTCTTGTGCTCATGCTTATGCTTATTTTGAGCCCGTTCTCACTGGCGTATATGACTCTCGTTCATCATGCTTATGCCTATGCGCTAGTGAAATCCATGCTAAAGTGTCGAAAATGTGAATTTACAGAATTATCTGAAATATAGAGGTTTATAAATTTACTG